TCCCCGAGACTCTAAAATTCTACCGTTGAAGTCATTCAGTTTGTGGTACTGTGCATAGTCACCTCGCTAACCTTTATCCACTCTGCAAAGCATATCTAAGCTTTCCGTGCTTCTGGTACTCAGCCCTGTCAAATCATGCACCATCCTTTTAAAGCAAGGTTTATGAAACTAACAAGACAAAGCACTTTCTAGGTCAATCCTATATGAACTGAATTAGACCGATTCCATTAGTCTGGTCTTCCTTCTGTGCACTTTTCCTCCAACTCCACCTGTCTTTCCTAACATTACCAAAATAATTTTCCAAAGCACTATTACGGTCAAGACACTCAGGATAAAAATCTTTCCGTTGTACTTTGCCCTCAAGTTGAAAGCAAGAAAGCAAACGAAAATATCAGAACCTGCCATGTGGCTCTGTTCAAGACCTTTCAGCAATCTGTCTTCCTGCCTTCCGAGAGTGTTCTTTGGGTCCTTCCTGCAGATCAGCGGTTGTCTTCCCTCACTCATAGTTTTGCTCACTGACTTCCTCTTACAGTTACCATAACCGAAATTCCACGAAACCTTCTTTGAAGATTCCATCTTCATTGTCCCCTTCCTGGTCGCTAGCTGCCTTTGGTGCTTTGTTGTAACCATGTGCAAGTGCCCAATTCCTCTTCCAATTGTTGAGATACGCAGAGATTTGTATAAGGTTGCTATCTATGAGGTATGCAATAAAAAATGAATAAATGTTTACCATTTAATGAAAAAGAACTTTGGTTCTTTTTCAAAAAGTTTTTTTCCAAAAAGTCTTTGGACTCACAGTGATCCTCCTGTCTCAGCCTTCCCTGTGCTGGGATTACAGGCCTGTGCTACCACACCTGGTTTTAGTGGCTGGCATAGCATGCGATACAAGGGATCAAACCCCGATTCTTGTATTTGCCAAGCAGGTGCTTAGACCACTAAGCTCTCCCCCCAGTCCTGTCTTGATCTCTTGGATCAATCCAGAATGACACTGTACACTTTGAACACCTCTTCCCAAAATAAGTAAAACTAAAAAAGAAGATAGGATGAGGGAGAGATGGAAGAATGATTAAAATATATTAAAGGCATGTGCAAATCCATAAAAATGAATCCCATTAATCTTTTTAACCAATAGGCATCAACAAAAACGTGGACAATGTATTGTTATTGGTGTGTCCTCAACTCTCTTATTCCGTGGACCTGTCAGCATGCGTGTTTCTGGCTCTCTCCCAAAGCCAAAGCCACATTCAAGGTAAAAGTATTCTTTTTCTTTGGTTCTTGTTTTGTTTTATTTTGTGCAGGGTCTGACTACACAGCTCGGACTTGTAGTGATCCTCCTGTTTTCAGCCTCTCCAGTGCTGGGATTACAGGTGTGCGCCACCATGACCAGACCCCATTCCAGGCTCAGCGTGCCCTGGGGCAGAGCCAGTGTGGCATGTGGTGCCAGAGATGGAACCCAAGTCCCCACACGTGCCTAAGCAGGCACGAGGTCCACTCAGCTATCTCTCCAGCCCTTCAAGGTAAATGTTTTTAATTGATTCAGGACATTGAATCAGTTGTGAGAGTACAACTAAAAACATGAGAGGACTTCCGTATCTGCTTCAGAAAGTGAAAACAATAAGACAAATGTGCCTACAGTAAAGGGGAGAATTTTGAGGTACATTAATGTCAAAGTGTTTTCTGCTATAATTTTTTAACTTAAACATTCATGTATTTTGTGATTTGTGTATATCTCTGAGCCTAAGTTTTAGGAGATCAAGCGAGGCCAGATTGCTAAATTTCCCAGCCTCTCTTAATGGTGGGGGCAGTGGACATGTAAGTTCTCATCAAGGAAAATGAGAGGTAAAACATGCAATTTTTCAATTTATTTTGACAAGACGCAGATTGCCCTCTTGCAGCGTCACTCTGCTTCTTTTCATGGCGGGTCACTTCTTTTCATGGCAGGATGGCCCCTGGCCTCATGGCACAGATGGGAGCCACATCTGTTCCAATCACTAGGCAGAAAGACAGAACTTGAGACCTTGTAAGATCCATTAAGAAGAGGTGACTGGGAGGCCAATGCCTGCCCTCATCCCACATGTTTACCGTGGGGAAATAAACTTGAATCCTTCCTGAGCAATTTTCTTTTTTTCTTATCATCTTGTTACCAGAGCCACGTAACCTGAAAAATACACTCCAGCACAGTAAGAGAACTTTCGCATTTACTCTGAACAAACCTTCCCTAGACACTATTCCCCACGGTTATTTGACTTATTTGGTTGAATTTCAGTAGCACATAATATACAGCATTTATTGTGATAACCATTAGTCATTGAAGAAAAGGTTAATGCTCCATGTAACCTCTATAAGAAGAAAATTAGTCATCTGATACGTTTTAGAGTGTTTAATTTAAAACCACTCAACTGCAAAAGGGTTTGTGTCTAACAGAGCAGAATTAAATCTCTATGGAAAATTTAAGCATAACAAGGCAATTTTTTTAGACTTCTTAACAATTAGATTTATTAAGGGAACATCTTCTTTAAAACATCTTTTAGAAGGTTAGCAATGATTAGTGTGGCTCAAACTCAAACTCTAAAGTCTTCTGAGGTCGAGATATAAGGCAAGTGGGAGTCAGAAGGTTCCAGAGGGTTGGATGCCAGTTGGGTTATGGTTGTGTGGCGCACCTATGTCCTATGTAAAGTATTAATCTTTAAAATGTTTTGAACTACTGTTATGAGGCTCAGAAGAGTAGTTTATTTAGGATAAATTAAAGAGAGTGAGACTTTTTATTGGAAGTAAATTAACATCAGAGAAAAGTATATGCCACGTTTGCCTTAAAAGACTTAATGTTGTTTGGCCGAGCATTGGCCGTGACTCATCCACATGGCTGACACTGACAAAGGTTCTACAATCTGAGGTACAGGATCTCAGGATAAATCCTAAGGGCATTTCACTGACCTTCTCAGACCAAAAAGCTACAACTCTTGTTGCACAGGTCCTGCTTTACCTTGGTCTTAACCATCCAGTAGAAAAGTATGAAGACGAAATATAAGAAGTAAAGCCATGCTGTTAAGTTGAGCTGTGGGGGACTCAGGTCAATAATTTCTGACATTGCCAGTTAAACAGAAGACCCAATGCTATTATGCGCTACTGGACTCTTTTAGAATATTTTGCTGAGTTTACACACCTATAATATTCAATAACGGAACTTAAAAAAAATGAGGTATAACTATGAATGTCCATTTTGTATCTGTGTATTCAAAGTGGTTGGGATAGATATATAGTTGCATTCTCTTAATGAATAGAATGATTTTTTCTAATGGTGTTTGTAAGTAGATCACAAGTCTGCATCTTGTACAGCAATTAACCACTAAGAAGAATATATGCAGTGTATTATTTGTTGAAACTGTACTTTCGATTTGATTTGAAACAGTCTCATTGCTATATGTTTATCAATAAAACTTTGAAAAGAAAAAAAAGAAAAAAAAAAGACAATGTTGTTGAAAGGACCAAGATACCCAGCAGAAAAAGCTCCAAAGTTCATTAAAAGAATACAACAAAATTTAATCCAGTATTTCAAAAAAAATGCGAAAAAAGCAAAGTAGGGTCATTGTAAGAAGGGAATATGTCAGCAGGAACAGACTTTGACAGAAATGGTACACTTAGCAATGGCTTGAAAAAATGTGTAATACATATAAGAAGGTTGACTATTACTAGTACAGAATAACATAAAGAAAACCTGCCTAGAACTTCCAGAGCCTAAAAGTATAATATTCAGAGTGAAAAGTCAAATAAGTAGAGTTCACAAGCACTTATACACAGCAGGAGAATACGTCTGTGAACCTGCAGCCTCCCCAGCAGAGGCTGTCCATACTGAGCCTCATGGGATTCTCTCTGCAAGTGAAAAAGCAAGAGTCTCAGAGACAGAAAGCTGTTCAGTGGGCTCTAAGGTAGAGTGCAACTAATGCAAAGAGATCAGGAACCTCTTGGGCTGACAGAATATTAAAAGTGTATTTTGATTATGGTAGCAACTCCATAGGTATAAATATTTCTTGAAATTCATTAAATTGCTGAAGAAATGGGTCAGTGCTTTGAATATTACCCTCTGTAAATTGTAACTGACTAAACTCAATAAAATAGTTTCACCCCAAATGAAATATCTGTTGAAAGCTGAGTTTGATCTGAAGGTGAGAAGGGATAGGTAAGGTACGCACCACAAGCGTGCATACAGTGTTTAAGCAAACAATAATTGTACCAGCCTAAAAGGATTTTAGAATGAATTAAAGTGACATGTCCATATATTTGAATTTGTTCTGATATTTAGAACTGGATTTTAAAATATTTGTAGCTGTTTTCATTATATTTTATTTTGCAAACATAAGAGATGTTCATAGTGTCCTATTTGATGATTATCACTTTGGTTGAGACAGCAATTTTCCTCACAAAATGTCACAGGTCTATGTGAAAACACACACAGCAATACTGCTTATATATTTGCATCGTACTCGTCCAACCGTGCCAGAAAACAGGTGAATATAACTGAGTGTTTGAGTCGCTTCTATACCTGATGCCCACGTGCCAAACCTAAACCATCTAGCTTGCCAAGAGATGGTGCAAGTAACAACAACATTAATAGAAAAGGTAAGATTTGTAGGAGGCATCAAGAGTAAAACTGCTGAGCAAACAGTTCTCAGTGTTCAACCCACTTACTGTCGCTTTCTTTTTCCCTGATTAATGTAGTTGTACAAGCTTAAGAGATGTGTTTTTGTTTCTTTTAGGGTGCTTTCTGCTGCAGACGTAGAAACTTTGCACATTGTTGTAGGAAGCACGGGGACAATTACACCACACTGAGCTTGCTTACTTTGCTTCTTAAACTTGTTGCATGAAAACAGTGAGAGGAGTCCACACTGGATGTTTAGTGGGCCCTGTTCCAGAGAAGGGTTAGAAGCTGTCCATTGCCAGAGCTTTTCGCCAGTAGATCTGTTTGCTTCCTACAATCTCTGAAGACAAACAATTACAACGGTATGGCAGGGATTTTGTACCCAGTGGTTTACAGGCCCCTAGGCAGGCTGCAGACTGTGACAAAACAGGTGGAACCTCTCATGGGTACAGATTCGATTCGTCACAAAGTTACCAAATCAAGAATTTCAGATAAAGGGCTAGCCAAATAGCTCAGTGGATTAAAGTACATGCAAGCAGGCTCAGGGGCCAGGGGTTTGATCTCTGGGCCTGCCGTGCCAGCCCCTCCCCCAGCACACACTGAGATGGTGATTGAGACTGGGTTTGGTGGCACATACCTGTAATCCCAGCACTTGGGAGTCTGTAAACAGGAGATTCAGTATGAGTCCAATCTACGCAGTAAGACCCTGTACACCCTGTATACCTGTCCTAAAAATAAATAAATAAATAAAAAGAATACCAGATAAAGTATTTCAGCCTTCGCCTGAACATCATGAAAAGCATGGTGGGGATCCACAGCACCCTCACAAACTGCATGTTGTTACCAGAATAAAAAGTATGATAAGACAACCGTATTGGGAAAAAGATGTAATCAAGATCCTTGAATTAGACAAAGCACATACTCCTCAAGTTCATAAGAGCACCCCTTCAGTAAATGCAAAACTGAAGGTGGTTAAGCATCTTGTAAGAATCCAGCCCCTGAAGCTCCCTCAAGGACTTCTCACAGAAGAGAATATGGCTAACACGTGCCTCAAGAGTACCAGGGAATTAGTAGTGCAGTGGCATCTGAAGCCTGTGGACACCTG